TTTTTGGGTGAACTAACTCTTTAAAACAGACGCGATAGCTGATTCGAACGAGTGATGTTCGACGGCGGCATCCATCTTTGTAATATAGGCTACAAAATCTGCTTCAAAATCCCAGCGCTGTCGTCATCGTGTAAAGCCCGCCCCAACGTTTCTGATTGGTGCCGTGATTTCGACGGATTGGAAATGGGCTTGAATGAGTTCTTTGCCAGACTGACTTTCAGAGCAAATCTAAATTTGCCGGAAGTTGTCTGGGTTTTCCCAGGCTACATAGATCGCATAATTTTACTCATTCTCGCAAGTTTTAAACTTTTAATGTGGGAAATTCCTGCAAACATTTATTAACTATAGCATGTAGGTTAGATGAGGAAATGAATCCACATAGAATATCAGATCAAATCAGTCATTTGAAAACCGTACGAGTGAATCAGTTGCTCAAATTTTTTTTTTTTTTCATTATTTTGGGACAGCTGGCAGAATTTTCTCCTGCCTAATCCGGTCAGTGTTGATTCGTCAAAAAAGTTTATAATTTTCACATCTTTTTAAACCATTTGGTTCTTTAGAGGCAGTTTTCTGTGCGCTCAGTCACATCCAAAGCGCATGCATATAAAGCTGTACCAAATTGAGTTATTTTCGTGGCTTACTGCACTTAAAAATGTGTACAAACTTTGTAGTTGGATTACAGCCTACATTTAATTAAGGGTGCTTTAAATAGTTTTACGAAGTTGTTCTTTGTTTTGTGTGTGCACTCACAGGACTCCCTGAGTAAGTTTGTTGGACGGACGCTGCAGGATTGTGGCGAGGACCTGCTGGTAGAGATCTCTGAGATCCTCTTTAATGAACTCGCCTTCTTCAGACTGATGCAGGATTTAGATCAGAACACCTCTAAAAACAAATGCAGGACCAAGAGACGCTCTGACCACACATCTCCAAAACACTCGCCTCGCGCTGAGGTAGGTTCGAGTGATTAATGTGTGTGCCCTTTAGCAATGCTTCTGTGTTAAAGGAGAATAATCTTTGCATTGTTTATTTAGGAGAAGAAAACACTAGAGAGAGAAAATACATTCTCACCATCATATTTTGATGAAGACAGAGTAAGTTATAATTGTTCATACACTTAACATTCACACAAATACACTAAGCTACACTGCCTCTGAATCTAAAGCCCCACAGCAGAACAGTTTTATATATTAGCTTGCAGTCTCAATATGAAGTGATGAGTTGAGTAAAAAAAAAAAAAAAAGACAACAAATTTCTATTTGTTGCCTTCGCTGGTTTCATACAACAAACTTACAGCGGTGTTTAGTTTTGTTTTATTGCAAACCTGAATGTTTTCAATGTTTAAAATTGACTTTCAATGTTTTTTCATCAGGATCAGGATGAGACCGAGCAGCGAGGGACGCCGGAAGCAGAAGAGGACAAGGAGAAAGATGCACAGAGCAGTGGAGCATCTGAGGTGGAAGAAGAAGAGGAAGAAGGGCTGCCTCTTTCTATAAGTAAGGTTATCAGCCAGAAACTAAAGGGGAAAAAAATAGCTATTTTTTAAAATAAATATACAATATTTACAAAATATACTCAAAAGTTGGGGGCTGGTGAGAATTTATTTGTTTTTAAAAGTCTTTTTGTTCTCACCAAGGCTGCATTTATTTGATCAAAAAATACAACAAAAACAGTAATATTGTGAAATATTACTACAATTAAATTTAACTTTCTATTTTAATACATTTTAAAATGCATTTTTTTAAAGTAGCAATTACTCCAACCTTTAGTGTCACATAATCTAGAAATTATTCTAATTTGCTGATTTGGTGCTCAAGAAACATCTCTTATTTATATCAATGTTAAAACAGTTGTGCTGCTTTGATATTTTAGTGGGGGAAAAAAATTCTCAAGGATTCATTTGGAAATCTTTTGTAACTGTAAAAGTCTACTGTCGTTTTTGATTAATTTTATGTTTTCTTGCTAAATAAAAGTAGATTTTTGAAAGTTTAAATATTGATTTAAAAATATATATTTTTTCATTCTATGTGATAAAATGGTAAGCATAAAATTTTGAGTATTCAACAATACCCTTTAGTGTTTGCAGGAGGTTGTCAAACTTATCGCCTACAGGTTGAGACTGTTCTGTAATGTATTTGACTTTGATAAGAATATGTTTGACTTGTGTGTTGTGTGTGTATGGTCTTTTCTTTAGGCCTGTCTAAAGCAGAGACACAGGCTCTATGCAATTATGGCAGTGGAGAAGATGAAAATGAAGTGGAAGAGATAGAGGAGTTTGAGGCTGGACCTGTTGAGGTGCAAACATCACTACAAGCCTGCATGGACAACACTAGTGAACACAGACAGGTGTGCTGGCATGCACACGAAAGAGCAAATAACCCGACTCAGAAGACATTAATAATGACCTGTTGTGTTGTTTCAGTGCTCTGCCATACAAAACGAAGCCCCCCTGGAAACCAAATCAGACCTAGAAAGCCCCGAAAGCAGCCAATGTACGCCTTTCTTCTGTAATATTATACCATTAACGTTTATTGGGGTATTTACAATCAACTCATTACAGTTGAAAAACATTTTTTTCACTTTGTCTCCCATTTTCTAACAGCTAAAAGCATAAAATCGGAGTCCAAAGTGACAGATCAGCAGCCTCCAGAGGAGGGCAGAGAGGAGGCAACAATTGGTTCAGAAGATGAAAGAGAGGAGGAGGAGGACCGTACTGCTGCTTCAGCACAGGAAACTCCTCAGAGCTCAGATACAGCCAGCCCTGACACAGACTCCCCAGTCATGATCAACACTGATGTATGTCAGAGCAGCTTTTCTCCTCAAACATCATTTATTCGTTTTTAAGAATGACCAAATTATGAAAAAAAGGTATTAAGTTCCTTTGTTTGTAATATAGGAGGCTGGATCTGGAAACAATAGCCAGAGATCAGATGAGGAAGATTTTGTGAAGGTGGAGGATCTCCCTTTTCAAATGTCTGTTCTGTGTGAGGTAAGAGCTTGAGGGGTCTCTCTCTAATAGGGATGGCCAGGATAGTGAAGTTTACAAATAAATTTGGGAAGTTAATCCACTTTTTTTCTTTTTTTTTATCAATGAATAGGCAATTGTTATATTAATTTGCTTTATACAATATTAATAGTTTTTTCTTAATCATCATATATTATTTTAATAAAACACTCTATACACTGTTTATATATATATAAAAAAAATACAGTGTATACTGTAACAGTGTATACATCAATATATTATTCACATATATGAATGTCAGTCACCTGCCACAGTTTTTCATGTCTCTACTCTCTAAACTGTACGAGTCATCTATGGTTGATAGTCATCAAGTGTATGGTTTTTAAAGATTTTCTAATTGTCTTTGCTTATAATTTGTACAGGAAGAACTTTGTAAGAGGATCTCAGAAGAGCAGCAAAATAATAACTTAGCAGCTGAAATTCTGAATGTAAATACAGAAGAGTTTACAGGAATGGTGGGAAATGCTCAAGCACTCAAAGAGCCTGGTAAGTGTTAAATATCCTTTAAAACATTTAAGCTATCTGTTTAGACTGTTCATGCAGTGACTTTAATACAATTCGAAATGTAATATTAGAATAAGGTGATAACTTTAGTTCAAAACTCATATTCAGTATTTCCATGTACATTTTACATTTAAGATTTCTTGTTTTAGTTTTGTAATGCGTTGAATATTATAATTCAGAGCTCAATTACTATGAGCAGATCCCTGTGATAGGTGAAGACATGTTCTACTCACTGTAGTGTAAATCATATCTCTTTTTTTTTTCTTTTCCTTGTCAGAAACCATTGGAGCCCAGAGTGCATGAGAATGGTTCTTTGATTCATCTTTACACTACAAACCATAATTCATTCAACATTACTATAAAATGAGCTTAATACCTTAAGATTCCTTGGAAACAACAGCTAAGTATTAGTGAATTAGCCTGTCAGCATGTGTGATCTAACAGTTCAAGAGATGTTAAAGAAGTCTCTCTACACTTATAAGAAGTTTTATTCTGATTGTTTTATGGAGAATGTAGGAGAGGATGTTTTGAAAGGGTCTTTAAGCTGTTCAGTAGTCTGTAAGTACATTTTCTGTGTTTCTCTTTAAGCCAGAACTCTCAGTAAAAGCTCATTCAAAGGCTACAGTTTAAGGGATGCAATAGATTTTTGTGTGTCTATGTTTGGCATGGTGAGGCTTTTGTTTTTGCATCTTTTTCTGGGATTCCTTCCCAGACCTTCAGCATTTTTTGTGAATGCAATATATAGAGGGCAATAGACGTTCCTCTAATTCAGGATAAAACTTCAAGCACATTTAGAAAAAATCTCTATTTAAATACATTTGACATGACCCAGGATGGAGCTGAATCACATATTAGCACTGATAAATTGTCCTGTCCTCTCTTATTGCACTCTTTTAAATGTTTTCTCTTGCTTTCATTTTTACCTTTTTTTAAGGCATGTTGGCCATTGCTTGGGTTCTCACCCCATTTCACCTAATGTGATTCTCTAATGTTTAGATTGAGATTTAAACTGAATAAAACATTGATTTTTATCATTTCCTGCAGTGATTGCTCTCTGTCACATTTGCATAAAATCTCAATGCAACATTTTCCCCACAACAAATACTGAATTTCCATGATTTATTGATGTTAGTTGTGTACATGTGTATACTGCTTAATTTTGTACACTCATTTTTAGTTGATCATTTTTCCTCTCATACACATATTGGTTGGCACTGAGGAGGTTTAATAAAGTTACAAGGCACCAGTAGTGTTGATTATCCAGTTGAAACATGTTCCACTGTGCACATTTCTGTATGCTAATACGTAGTTAAAAAAATAATAATAATTAATCACATGATTAAAAAAAAAAACAATTTGCCATATGCAATATAAATTTTCAGTGCAATTTCCCACACCCCCACACATATTTAAACAAGTAGTAGCTCTTCCTTGATTAACCAAGATTTGATTTCAAAATCAGATGTTGCAAATCTTCTAAAATGTAAGAGCTGATTTTTAATGATGCTAAATTTTGAATTGGATGCTTTTCCTTTAACATACATATGAACGTCCCAGTGATGCAGCTTGCCCAGATGCGATCCATCACCACGGCATGCAGGGGTTAGGACAGTCACGGATATAAGACTCCAATGTCCCCTTAGACGCCTCCATTAGAGTAGTGTACGTGGTCAGCTGCACAGCATCATAAAGGGAAGCGTTAATGAACAAGCCATAAAATGTGCTACAAACTGATACATAAAACATTACCAGTAATGGATAATGAACCTACTTTATTTAAGACTGGCTTGGTGGACAGGACATCATAGACTGTCTTTAAGGAGATATCCTGAAAGCGAATAGGGTCATGAATGTAAAATCACTATTATTAGGCAACCTGGATAAACATGATTTAGTTTATATGTGAGGCCAACTCACATCCTTTGTGGTCTGATTCATGCATTTCATAGCAGGAGTTCTCCTGTCATCCAAAAACAGAGGCTCTTTCCAGTGGTCATAGTTAGTCTCCAAAACATACCACCTGCCATTCTTCACATCAAGCCTGAAATACATAGTGTTTCAGTTTATTATTAGTTTCTAACCAAAAAACTCACACATCTACTTTTAACTATGTGTAGAGTGTAGATGCAATGCTCACTCCAGTGGACTGATGCTGTGTGTTCTGGATCTGGTGATGATGCAGGCTTGACCCGTCTGGTTCCCTCCCAGGATGAAGTAGGCTGGAGCCAGCAGCTTAGTGTCAGACAACAGAGCCTTGGCACTTTCATAGCTAAAAGAAGACAACATCCAAATCATCATCTTCATAAACCCAGGAGATGACCATGTGTCTTTCCTTTTGTTTCTTTCTTCAATATCGCAAACATTACAAAGTCACTTCTTATTTAAGTTCAGTTAAAGACAAAAAAATATACACCAGTTTAGCACAGTTTGGAATGATTATGATTTGTAATGTTTTCGAATTAAGTATCTTATGCTCACCAAAGCTGCATTTATTTGATGAAAAATCAAGTAAAAATCGGTAATATTGTGAATGAAATATTTAAAAAAAAATGTTTTCTATTTGAATATATTTTAAAATGTAATTTATTCCTGTGATGGCAAAGCTGAATTTTCAGTGTCATTACAGTCTTCATTGTCACATGATCCTTCAGAAATCATTCCAATATGCTGACTTTGAGCTCAAATATAATCAATCATTATTGGTGCTCAATTATGAATATAGTTATTTTTATTATCAATGTTTTTGCTGCTTAATATTTTTGATACATTTTTTCAGGATTCTTTGATGAATAAAAAGTTCAAAAGAACATTAATTTAGTGCATCCTTGTTGAATAAAAGTACTGATGATAAGTATAATAAATATTTTTTGAGCATCAAATCAGCCTATTAAAATGATTCCTGCGGGATCATGTGACACTGAAGACTGGAGTAATTATGCTGAAAATTCAGCTTTAAATCACAAGTATACATTTTCAGTTAACATAAATAGTGATAATTTTTCACAATATTACTGTTTTACTGTATTTTTCATCAAATAAATGCAGCCTTGGTGAACATTGGAGACTTCTTTAGGGTCCAATTCTAACTAGTTGCTTATTAGCATGCATATTACTAGGATATTGGCTGTTTATTAGCACATATTAATGCATTATTCTGATTGACCATATTCTTTATCCCAATCCTACCCATTACCTAAACTTAACAACTACTTTACTAACTATTAATAAGTAGTAATTATGAGTTTATTGAGGCAAAAACTCATAGTTACTAGTAAGAATGGGACCCTAATCTAAAGTGTGACCATATTTTAAAATAACTATCTCTAACCTAGTTGCGTTCTCCAACACAGAACGAGTCAGAAAACTCATCCACATGCCGTCTCTCTTCCCCAAGATCCACTCCAGAATCCCTGTAATTCACATCACACACTTAGTCACAATTAAACTATATATCAACGATCTGACCAAATGAAATAAGTAATCATATTTGAAGAAAGCTTCAACGTATTTCTGACAGTCATGCCATATGGCTCTGCAAATAAAAGAGCAAAGGCTTACCGATGTACCCTCCATCCAGACTGAATCGTTCATTCATAGTGAGTGTGAAAGAGCGCTAGAAAGAAAACAAAAGACAAAGAGTCAAGGGACAGAAGCATTGTGATTATTGACCAACAATCAATGCTTTCACAATGGTCCTTCCTGTTAAACTGCAGAAGTGAAACTAAAAAGAGACAAAGGGTCATTCTGGATCCTGTCACCATGATTTATAATCCATTCCGGATTGAACTCTAATCAACTCAGATCGCTCATTGGGATTCTCTCATCCGTCCTTACCTGATGAATACCAGTCAGCATGCCCACGTATCCTGCAAAATTGGTGGATTTAAAGACAGTCTGATTGTTCCTTCTGAAGTCGAGGTTGACAATAAGTGGCTTCAGCTTCTCTGTGATGATCCATGACCTGTTCTTCAAATCCCAACTGTAAACAGAGGATTCCAAAGAACAGTCTGAAATATTGATGTTTTAGGCTTCAATATATACTGTAGTAGTCAACATCTGAAGTGGATCAAAACCTTTCATGCATTTTGAACAATACCTGTTCTTGTCTTAGGACAACTTTGATGAACTTTTTTGATACACTTCAAATGGTGACTACTGTTTATATATATATATATATATATATATATATATTCACTCAAAAATTCTCATAAATTGAGGAAGTACTGTAGGTTAGCAACAAATACCAAAACAATGACACTAAACTCACCCCATGAAAAGTCCAAAGTCCAGGTTCCTTGCATGGATGAGATTGCCTAGAGTAAAAATAAAATATATCAACTTTATATCAAATACTCAACTGTTCTAGTGATATTATACACTACTGTTCAAAAGTTTGGGTTCGGTAAGATTTTGATTATCGGTAAGATTTTGATTATCGGTAAGATTTTGATTATTGGTAAGATCATGTTTTTGAAAGAAGTCTCATATTCTCACCAAGGCTGCATTTATTTGATCAAAAATACAGTAAAACAGTATTATTGAGAAATATTACAATTTAGAAGAACTCTTTTCTATTTTAATATATTTTAAAATGTCATTTATTTCTGTGATGTCAACGCTGACACTTCAGCATCATTACTCGTCAGTCGTCAGTGTCACATGATCCTTCAGAAATCTTTCTAATATGCTGATTTGCTGCTCAAGAAACATTTCTTATTATTATCAATGTTGAAAACAGTTGGGCTGCTTAACTTTTTTTTTGATGAATAGAAAGATCATTTCTAAATGAAACAGCATTTATTTAAAATGAATGTTTTGTAGAATTTTATGTTTTTACAGTCACTTTTAAACAATATAATCTATCCTGGCTGAATACATTTGTATTCATCTCTGTCAACAACAACAACAAAAAAAAATCTTTCTGACCTGAACCTTTGGAATGGTAGTGTATATCATATAATGCATATTTGATATGTTATAACAGATAAAAATGATCAAATAATATCTCAAACGATGTTATATCAGATGATATCCTCACCATTGACATCCTCTGCAACCAGAGAAGTGCATACAGTGAACACCTCATAAAATATGTTGAAGAGCACCACCTCACCTGCGTTACAGAGAACAGTTGATGGAGTGAGTTGATGGTTTACGTTTTATTTAACAGTGTGAAACATGATGGTTTCGATGCATTTCATACCCAAAGGAACACCAGACACTGATGCTATTCCTCTGATCTCCTCATCGAAAGGATAAGGCAAGGTGTTCACCATCAAGGGCTGAGGACAAACATCAGTCCTTTTAGTTATTACAGCTTAAATCATTAATGTAGGTGATCTTTGACAGGTATGTAGATCAGTGTGCCAGCCAGATATGAGATTTAAGAGTGCCGTATACTTCAATAAATTATTATTTAGCATCAGGCAAAGTGATATGTTAGACTGCCGACTCACCAATTCCTTGTCTACTAGTTTGATGAGCTTCCCACTGGGAACAAAGGCATCTGCTAGATCTCTGATAGCCTGAATCATGCTCGCCATCTAAAAGACAAACACATGAGCTCTTGAAGACGTCACCGAACACATCAGCCCTTCTCAGATCATTCCTTTTTAGCTTGCTTTTGGGTTTCAGTTCACTTTTGGTTCACGGTTAGACCTGACTCAATTATTGAAGAGTCATCTGATTGTGGTTATTCAATCTGATCGGAATTATTTGAAATAACTGCAATAATTGTGCAAAAAAATGCACATTTTGCCAAACAAATGAGGTAAATTTATGCACACAGAAATGCCATTGAATGCATGTAGAGCATTTGAACTATAGAGCATTGAATCAGTGATGGTATAAACTCACATCCTTCTTTTTGTCTGTAATAACATCTGTCCATCTTTTGCTTGGTGGTAAGTCCAGATCAACGGTATACCAGGACACATCACCTTTAAATCTAAAAGATATAGATTCAAATACAGATTTTCTTATCTTCTCCCCTCACACAACTTACAATTTCAATTATGTATATAATGTATATACACATACTGCTGGTAAAAATTGTGGGATCAGTAAGATTTGTAATGTTTGTAAAAGACGTATCGTATGCTCACCAAGGCTGCATTTATTTAATAAAAACATATTTTTAAAAAAAAAGATATATTGTTTTTATATTATGACAATTTAAAATAACTGTTTTCTATTTGAATATAGTTTAAAATATAATTTATTTCTCTGATGCAAAGCTGGATTTTCAGCATCATTACTTCAGTCTTCAGTGTCACACGATCATCATTATAATCCTTATAATACGCTAATTTGATTATTATTATTATTATCAATGTTGAAAACAGTTGTGGACAATTATTTTCAGGATTCTTTGATGAATAGAAAGTTCTATTTTATTTATTTGAAATAGAATATTTATTAACTTTATAAACTTTATAAAGTCTTTACTGTAACTTTTGATCAATTTAATGCATCCTTGCTGAATAAAATAATTTATTTTATTTCTTCCACCCCCAAAAAAAAAAAAATCTTACTGACCCCAAACTTTTGAACAGTAGTGTATAATGTTACAAAAGCTTTCTATTTCAGATAAATGTTGTTCTTTTGAACTTTCTATTCATCAAAGAATCCAGATTGTTTTTTTGTTTGTTTTACATAACTTTTTTCAACATTGATACTAATACACGTTTCTTGGGCAGCATTTCATCATATTAGAATGATTTCTGAAGGATCATGTGACACTGAAGACTGGAGTAAATTACAATTTCAAATATATTAAAATAGAAAACAGTTACTTTAAATTGTAATAATATTTCAGCCTTGGTGAGCAGAAGAGACTTCTTTTAAAAACATTAAAAATCTTACCAATTCCAAACTTTTGAATGGTAGTGTATATTTTTATATAAAATTATATTTTCAATTATATTTTAAAACATCAGTTTTCTTTGATTTATACATACTGTTACAATTTTCTTTCTTAGTACTAAAAAACAGTGTAAAGCTGCAAAAACTATTTTTGCACAAAAAAATATATAGCCTACACATTACACAAAAGTAACGTGACAAATATGACATATTTTAGTAATTGCATAACAGGCATATCCGCACTGTTACAAAACACCTGACTTGGTTTCACTTCTTTAAAATTAAACTGACACATAAGACATATTGTGAAATATATATAGGCTATCACGTGTGTCTTTTTTATTCATTTCCTAAGTCTTTGTTTTTCCCGTGTGACTCGGTTAATTCGTACTTTGTCTCATAATTTTGTTACATCCAATTGTTGTATGCTTGTACTGATTAAAGTTTGGAATAACATTGTTCTACTCTGACATAAGTATTTGCAGAATGTATAATCCATAATTTCAGTTGTCATACTCACGTTGGTCCGTTTGGAGGATACATGCCACTTCTGCACTCTTCTGTGTACTGAAACATGAACACCAGTGATTTAGCACATATTTACAGTAAACTAGTGTTGTTTCCAACGGTCACTTAAGTTATAAAACAGCCCAATGGCGTGTAAACACAACACTGCAGTTCAGCTATTATTGTAACTTGCAATGAAACAAATCCCAAATTAATATGAAAACAGTAATTATTGCCATAAACAAACACGACAGATGGTGACTTACCGGTGGTACATATTGCGCATACAAGCACATAAACATAATAGAGAGACTAAAACAGCAGAAGTTTATTTTGACGATCATGATGAGACGTCCGCAGTCTTCAGACTTCAGAAGCGTCTGTGAACACGGAAGTGCTGATGAGATGATTCTCGTGACAGTTCCTAATCTGCGCAAACCCAGTAGACACTGGGGGAGTTACCATAACAATGAGTTACAAAATAAAAGATGACTTTACACTTTCTGTCTTTGGGGTTGTCTCTGCTTTATTTTACTAAGCTGTAGCAAAAGACTGTCCCATATATATAAATATATATTATTCATTAGGTAATGAGAAACAATAACCGCAGAACAAAGCATTTTACCTCTCCCAACCCAACAGGACAGGTAACGCCGACTGATAAACAAATAGGCGAATGTATTGCGACATCTAACGGTTGTAGAGGGAAGTGCAACAACAAGCAGTGTGTGTGTGTGGCCTGGTAAAGTGGTAAACCCAACATTACGGGGACAAAATGTCCCCACAAAGATGGCAATACCCGAAATCCTTGTACTAGTGCGGACACTTATTTGGTCCCCATGAGGAAACCAGCTTAGAAATACAAAGGGATGGTTTTGAAAATGTAAAACCACAAAGTATTCTGTAATAGGTAGGTTTAGTGTTTGGGGATAGAATATAAAGTTTGTAAAAAATCATGTACATGGAAAGTCCCCATAAAACATGAAAACACAACATTTGTGTGTGGATAAATTTAATTGTTTACTGTATCTTATGTGTCTTATATTTAAAATGTAACTGCAACGACCTTGCAGTGGAAGTACAAAAAACTAAATACCATTTTGTGTGTAAATCTTAAAGACTGCAAAAATCATTCCAAAATCAATATTCAGAGAACGGACAGCAGTTACTGCACAGAATGAAATGCATCTTCAAATGTGGCTCAACAATACTATTCTCATATACCCTATGTATCAAAACCCTACAAAATCAGACATCATCAACACTGATGACTTCAGTCAGAAACATTCTAAGAATAGTTTTCTATGATGTTTACCAAGATTTTTTTTCATTCTATGTACTGTGAAAATTTTATTAAAATAATTATGTGATTAAACAACAGATTTTTTAGTTTACAATCCATTTAATTTGGAAAATGAATCACATTTACAGTTCAATATTACACAAATTACAACATCTCTAATATTATTAATTGTAGTCAATTAAAAAAAGCGGAAGGGGGGATTTTCTTGTGAATAGTTTATTTTTAAAAAATGGCAGAGATTTCATGACAACGTCAAATTAAAACATAAAAAAAATAAGTTTCTCCTGGTTTCACTTGCAGTATCGGTCAGCCTTCATCTTTGCTCTCCTAAAAAAGAAGAAGAAAAAAAAAACATTTTAATAATGTAGTAATGTTAGCATATTCACAATGTTTCATACACCATCTTCTATAATAAATCATCCAATAGGGTATATCAACATGACAACTTTTCTTCCATCTAAGGATGAGCTAAATTAGCAGGCTACATTCATTTATTACTCAGTATGAGGTTTGTCCTCAGAGGTCTTACCTGTCCAGCAGTGCCTCGTGGAATTTTCCATCTGTTCTGGCTACTTTCAGAGTACCGCTGTCTTCCTCATTCACCCTCAGCTTCCGATCCTGAAAACTCTGGAACTTCTTCCTGTAGGCAAACATTCACATAAACATTTATTTGACTGAATGCTCAATAAACAGCACAGCTTCTGAATCTTACTGAAGGTAAAAAATAGGCCAGTCACGATCATGAACTTTGAGCTGATGTCTGATTTTCATACAAATAATTGCAATTAATGATTTAATGCTGTTTTTTTTCCATGTCACTTACAGTGTAAGTTACTTTTTTTTTCTTCTTGGAATTGTATAATATATGATAATAAAATGATATTAAAAAAGGCCCAATGTGATTTACTTTGATGCTGTGAAAATGAATATGTATACGATTAATATATTACAATATAATACATACAGCGCAGTCTGATTAAACCCACAAACCTTCATTTTGCATGAAGAAAGACTTTGACTATCTTTATGTACTTTAGTTTACAACAGTGTTTTTTATATTCTTTGGCAAAAAGTGGTTGAAATTTAAACTGCCCAATTATTACGGTTGCCTCAAATAATTGTGATTAGATAGAATAACCACGATTAGACAATCAATCAATAACCGTGACAGGCCTAGTAATAAAAGCAAGCACTCACACGTAGTTGATCTCACAGTTCTTGACATTACCCCTGTCTTCATCAGCAATATCGTCTTTACTCTTCACCTCTCTTTCTATGGATGAACGGATCTGTGGAGGACAGATAAGCATGAAAAATAATGTTAATATTTATTCCAGGAAAAAGTCAAGTGTAATTTAAAAGCAATATTCTTGTGTTCAGATAAAATACATTGTCTGTGAATCATTCTGTCCTTCAGACAACAACAACAGAAAAACCATTAAGCAATTCATCTTGTGTTGACTGAGTTCAGGAGAGATTCACCTTGATCATCTCCTTATCTCCAGCTGTCTTGTTTTTGGCCACTATGTCTCCGCTCTCACTGTATGAGATGAAACAACTGTTTGCAGCAAGCAAGGCCATTTTACGCTGCGGAGAAGAAGAAACAAGAAACGGTAAAAGCTGAATTCGTACCACCAACATTATTTTCATTGTGACTGGTGAATTGATTTGACTGCCAGAATTACTCACATCCTGAAACACTGGTTCCCACTGTTCTCTGGAGCCGATGGCATCTGATCGACCAATCACAACACCATCTGAGCTTATACCTAAATACTTCCCATAGCCTGACTTCAGCGCTATCCTTGAAACCAGCAAAACAGATGAGAAAAGTTAGTCACATGATCGATTCAAAAATTACCTATAGAATAATACATGGCACTTATGATTATACATTTTAAGGTGCTGTTAGTAATTGCAGTTAGTAATTAATTTTTAACTTCATGCACCCATCCCTACTCAGAACACCTAGTTATGGATATGATCTTTACCTGGAGTCTGAGAGTCTGATGGCAGTGAACTGTTCAGGAGGATCTGGACCTTCCTCCTCTGTGAACATAAGACATTTTTTTTTTAAACTTGTGTACAATACCATTCAAAAGTACCATTCAAGAGTCATTGATTTGATCAAAAATACAGTAAAAAGTAATATAGTGAAATATTACTATTATTATAAATAAACTTCTATACTAGTAAGCGAAAACTAAAATAATAATAATAAGTGCATTCCTATGCGCATTTGATTCCATCTAATTCAGACATTTGGGGTCACCAATAGCAAAAAGAATCCATGATAGCGATTCTATGACTTCACAAAAGAGGAAAAAAATATTGAGATTGATTAGTTGGTCAGATCAGAGAAAGATGTCAAATTTGCCATCTCTCCCTCAGCCGTTCTATTAGAAACACTCACACAGCAGCGTTAACTAGTTTTCTTTGTGTTATATAAAGTATAGTGTAATAAATGTACATATAAATGTGCTGATTTGCTGCACAAGAAACACTTATTCGTATTATCAATGTTGAAAACAGTTGTTCTGCTTAATATTTTTGTGGAAACTGAATTATATTTTCAGGATTGTTTATGAATAGAAAGTTGAAACTACAGCATTCCTTTTGTAACATTATACATGTCTTTACATGTCTTTAAAATTTAAATGCATCCTTGCTGAATAAAAGTATTCATTTCCTTTTTTTTAATCATCTTACTTTACCTCAAATCTAGTCTGAATTATAACTGAATATTTTTATGGCATCAAAGTTTTAATGGCTAACTATTTAAAATAACAAAGCTCAAAAGATTTGCTATTAAATATAAAATACAGAGAACAAAGAAAGGCCTTGTAACTATAAACTACTTGACAATAATTTATTATACCTATGGGGTCTTGCAGTATTTACAGTACTTTTTTTTCAACCAATGAATGCCTGAACAAAAGAGCAAACCCGAAAGCTAATATTCTATTCCACCTGCTGTGAACTCATGAATTATCTAAGATATTGAATACTGCAAGAGCACTCCAGTGATATGCTCAAAAAGTTACAGGATATAGTGTGTGTGTGTGTGTGTGTGTGTGTGTGTGTGTGTGTGTGTGTGTGTGTGTGTGTGTGTGTGTGTGTGTGTGTGTGTGTGTGTGTGTGTGTGTGTGTGTGTGTGTGTGTGTGTGTGTGTGTGTGTGTGTGTGTGTCTACCACATTTCTGGCCTGGAGAGGTGTGGTAATCATACAGATGCATTGGTCATGAAGTGGGTATCAACAACAGTTACAGTCATTCTTTTCCTAATTTCAGGTTTCAACCACTAAATTATATTGATTTTGGGGAGCATGCACATATTCAATCATGGTGCTTCCAGAGTGATGTAGAGACTGATCCTTACAGCCAACGGTCAGTGAAAAGCAGAAAATGAAGCTGGAAAGAAAACAATCGTAAACAACTCCTTCTGGTGACTGAACTATGAAATTGCTCGGTGCTCTGCATGAATGGCTGCGGTAATAGCAACTGACGATCCCTAACATTATTCAGGTTTTTAAATCCCTCCATACTGAGAGCAACAGAGAAACAGCAGCACCTAGCCATCTCTACTTTTGAGACTTATTTGTTCCGCACTATTAGAGGGACCTTTCCAATTTAAAAGGCAATATAAAAGCCGCATGGCAGAAAAAAATACAGTGCAGTATAATTGCACAGAAAGAATTGCTTGTTGCCTAAAAGTACAGCAAATATATCTTGTAAAGTATATTTTTAAAAACATAGACCTTAAGAATTCAATATTTCAGGTTCTAGTTTATGTAAAATAACATTTTCTCCTTTCAAATCTCACCACTACATCAACCCTCTGGGGACTAAGGGGACTACATTTGGGCTTATAAACCATATGTAATGGGGATGGAATCCATGTGTTTGGTATCTATGGATTCAGAAGACCCTAAGCTAACATAAGAATGCATGTTATGTGTTTATAAAGGAAGTATGGGTAAAAAAATTTTTACAATAAACTAGAGAATTTCAAAAACTGAACATCAAAAACTGAAAATTACTGAAAATCACACCTCACACAACAATAGTGAACAGTTTTTGAACAAAAAATATATTTTTCAAACCCTTTGCTTGACAGACA